GGCAATCTTCAATCTACTTTTCCAACTTAACAATTTATCGCAATTGGGGTCAAGGAAATTAGCGAGAATCTCGAATCTGGCATCCTCATACACTAGTGCTGGATATCTGAATTCCAAACAACAACCTATAATCTTTAAAACATTCTTATCTCTGCTCATTAGTGATGTGACTGCAATGTCACGTACAGCTCCAGCAAGAATGTCAAAGTCGGAATGTGAGGCCGGATTACCTGCAAAGGCGGATCCAAGATTTTAATTCAACACAACTATACCTACTACACTACTTTGTGAACCATATATATTTAAGCTAAAAACACGCATAGATAAAATTATGAATTAATTTGAGAACCCACTCTCTTACAACACACAGGGGCGGAGCTAGAGTGTCGAGAGTGGGTTCGGCCGAACCAAGTAGCTTTGGTTCGAACTCTGTATTTATCTTAAAAGATTCATTGAATATGTATAAATTGTTAATTTAAAACCCAATAACTTAAAATTTCTGAACCCATATGCTTGAAAACTTGGCTCCGCCTCCACATGGTTGGTTACCTGGAATATTTATGAACATTTTGACCAAGATAGAGCGGCCTTGCAGAGTTCCTCTACAGATGTAACCGTAGGTGCTAGCATGGACACGTCCAGCGAAGTTGTTTGTGGCCTTAACAAGTTGTTGAGCACTGTAACTACGGATAGGAATGTCATATGTTCCACTAGAAAAAGAAATAAGCTCTTCCAACAGTGCACTTCCATTTTGTAGGAACAGATTTGGTACATCTTCTTCTTCCTTCCTAAATTTCTTCAAGACCGACCACATCTTCGTTATGCAATCCATGGCTAGCTGGGTAGACTAGGAAAAAATTGCCCAATTTCGGGCGTTGAAAATTTGATCGAATCTATCATTTACGCGTTTCTAGATTCTAAAAATTTGGCAGACAACTTTGACCATTAAAATACATGGAATTAGGAGTGGCAAAATGGCGGGTCAGATATGATTCGGGTCGAAAACAAAAATGAATCAATTATCTGACCCGACTCATATTTAATACGGATAAAAAAGATTAACCGACGAATAATATAGGTAACTACATTATCCATAATTTGTTAAATATGATCACTTTTGGGAGAATTTCTATTCTCCAAACTAGAGGAACCCTCAATTTGAGGTTTTATAAATATAAAAGTTAAACTCATTGGTTATAAATTGGTTACCCATTGATTATACATTGGTTACTCATTGGTTATCCATTTCTAATGGATAATATGGTTCTTATCTATATTTGACCCGTTTTTAAAAAATTCATTATCCAACCCATTTTTAAAGAATAATATGGATGATTAACTATTTTCTTTTAACCATTTTGCCACTACTACTTAGACTAAGAGATATTAAAAATAATGGAACTAATATTTTTATAAAACATATAAAAGAAAACTAAGAAAGCCTCCTTCAACGTCGAGGACACTGCAGCCGACGAAATGACTCGTCTTAAGAGTTGTTGCCAATGTTGAAAAGAGAGATTTTGATGAGTCTTGAGAGCTCACCCAATGGATCTCGACGAATTGAAAGATAGTTTTGGTAAAAAATTAGCAAAATACATACTTTACCCATCGACCTTGTACTTAAATCTCTCTTACACACCTATTAAACACGGAAATAGTATTACACACTAAAACTTTTAAAAGTGTGTCAATTACACACCTCTTTTGCCATGTGTCATATACGTGTATTACACATAAAAGAAGCGCATGAAAACTACAAAATTCATCTGAAATTAAGTTTTTTATTTTATTTTTTCCTTTTTAACTATTTTCTTTACAAATTAAAGAGAAAAAAATATAACCCATTTCTTCTTCCCAAACTCACACCCCAGCGATTCCTTTCCCCTGTTTCGTCTTCTTCCCCAACCTCCATCCTAATTTTGTATAGCCCTTCATGTTTCGTCTCTTCAACCCCCATGACTAAGAAGAAAAAGAAAAGGAAGAAGAAAAGAGGAGCTATTGGGTCTTATAAAAATCATCATTATTGACCTTTTGAAAAAGCTTGAAAATTTAATCGGGTCTTGTTGAATTTGGTGTTCCATGACCTAGAAAATTAGTTTGAATTCGTGATTATTGTTGAATAAAAATTTATTTAGGTGATTAAATTTGATAAAATTCAAAAAACACCATTAACAAGTTTGAAGCTTTTTGAGCTTGATTTTGAAATTTCTATAAGGATTTATGATGGATGTTGTTAAAACTTGTTAAAAATCGGGCAAAGAGTTTAATCTATAGTTGGGGAAGAAGGTGTTTGTAGTGGAAGGGTTGGTGGTAGTATGGTGGTGGTGGAGAAGATGATGGGGTTGGGGAGATGAGGAGGGGGTGGGGGTTTTTTTCTGTATTTTTTTCTTTGGGAAGATGAGGAGTGGGGGCAGGGGGCAGAGGTTCTTTTTCAGTTTTTTTTAACGATTTATGACACGTGTCAGACGTTGATTGACGCGTGTAATAGTAATCTTTAAGACAGATGTGGTCAAACACCGAAGTCACTACTAGAAAATGCCAGATTTTCGACGGCCAAAACGGTCGGAATTCGGTCGGAAATCACGTATTTCCGACTACTTTCCGACCGAATTTGGTCGGTCGGAAAAAAGTTGGTCGGAAAATAATTTCCGACCGAATCCGTTGGTGATTTCCGACTAAAGTGGTCGCAAATTTCGAAAAGGTCAGACTACCAAATAATTCACCTTTCCGACTAAAGTGGTCGAAATTTACCGACTGAATCGGTCGTAATAATACAAGGAAAGTTAATAATTAAAAATTAAATTTTATTTATTTTCCGACGAAATCCGTCGAAAACTGTTGAATATTTTTTTTTTGAAATTTCCAACTGAATCTGCCGGAAATTAATAATTAAAAATTAAATTTTATTTAATTTTCGACGGAATCCGTCGAAAATTTCTGAATAATAATTTTTTTAGAAAAAACTTTCCGACCGAATCAGTCAAAAATCTGACAATTTATTGTTAAATCTAGGGAGCTTTCCGATCGTTTCAGTCGGAATTTGTACAAAACTGGGCAGAATTCTACCCAATTTCGAGCTACACGACCTGTCAAACTATCACAAACAAAAAATACCAACCAACAATCTAAACCAACGATACATTAATATAATAATACGAACCAACAATACATTAACACTATCTAAATTAACAATACATTAACAAATTCTAAACCAACAATGCCAACCATTAACACAACTTAAACCAACAATACCAACATTTAAACCTAACAATTTTGGGCATAAAAACATCCAAATAGCAGCCCATATTCAAGTTTAAAAGCAATACATAAATTAAAGTTGTTTCTCACATTCAAGTTTACCAATCAACCAAAATATCACAACTAAACTACTACACATCAGATTCAGTTTGTTCATCCTCATCATCAGATAAATCATGCCCATGTTTACGCATGAATTTCTGCATCTTAACAAATGTTCTGTATTGGAAGTCCAATTGTTGCTTCAATCCACGAATTTCGTTTCTCATATCTTCCATCTATTCTTGATTTTGAGGAGAAGAATTGGCTAAGAGTGGGTTTGGATGACCTATAGGTCGATGTACTCCTAGTCCGTAGACTCTGCCTTTGTTTGCTCCACCCGCTGCCTCTGTCCACAATGAAGCCATATTATCAGGTGTTGGTTGAGTTGAAGGAAGCTGAGTTTGTTGCTATTCTTCCAACCTTTTATGATAATCTTCCTAAAATGAAAATCATGACTATTATGTAAACAAACTAATATTAATAAACCATAAATAATTATGAAGTTAGAATTTTACATATGTGTCTGATGCACGCGTCTCCACCCAGTGTTCTCTTATACCATCCTTTTTCTTTTTCTTATGCGACTCCTCGAAGACCTCAGCGTAACTCACATCTCACCCTCTTTCCTTTTCCTTCATAAGAAAAAGTATGAGTTAGACTTTACAAACGTAAAATTCTATATGTAAAACTAAGAATTTTTTTATAAATAATTACCATTCTTAGTTTATGGGCCTCAAAAGTAATTGAACCTCCTGTATGCAACGAGCCACCGTTTTTAGAGGCACGGTTTGCCTTTGCTTGTTCACTCTTTGCCTTCCATTCTGGGGTATTCCATTTCTCAAGAAGTTTATCCCAAACATCTTCTCTTAATCATTCCGGCATTTTACCGGAATTTCGAGCAGCGCACATAGTATCTTTAATCCTTATAGCAGCTTTCTTCTCGAAAATACTATTTATTGCATTTTGATGCTGAGGATGCCATGTACACCTTGTCTGCAATATAAAAAAGTAACATTAGATGAAGACGATAATTAGTAATAAATATAATTAATTTTTACCCTAAATTGATTCCACATTTGCTCTCTGATGCTGTACGGTATCTTTCCCCAAGAAGTCCACGGCTCATGATAAAATGGCTTCATAGAATCTGTAACCAAATGTGTAGCTTGAAAGGATGGCAAAAACCTGCATTAAAGTTAACATATATATAATTAATAAACACCTTTTAATTGCAAATAAATACTCCTTAATGTTAACGTATCTAAATGTACATTCAAAACATAAAAATTTGTATAAGAACCTTATTACCCATCCTTGTGGTGGACGATTATCAATCGATTATAACTATTAAATTGTACATTCCCTCCAAGATTCTACCTGCATCTATGAGATGGTGCAGAAGCAGCACTAGATGTAGCTGGGCGAGAGAATCCAATATCCAACCTAGATATGCTGGGAATGGATGATGATGATGGACTGGAAGATGATGGAGCAACAAAAGATGCACCATCATGCTGACTACCATGAAAGCTCGGGGGTTCAACAGCTGGTAAGCCAGTATGCTGACTACCATGAAAGCTCGGGGGTGCAGCAGCTGGTGAGCCAGTATGCTGACTACCATGAAAGCTCGGGGGTGCAGCAGCTGGTGAGCCAGTATGCTGACTACCATGAAAGCCCGGGGGTGAAACAGCTGGTGAGTCAGTATGTTGACTACCATAAAAGACCGAGGGTACAACAGCTGGTGAGCCACCATGAAAGCCCGGTGAAGATAATGGTATAAAAGATGTGGGTACAAAGTTAAAAACGGTGTTACTTTGACCGCCTTTAGCAGGCATAGAATAATACTGAACTGAATTATTAGATGGAGCGGGGATAGTAAACATGGTGGATGACAATGAAGTCGATTGAGGAGGATGAGGAAGAGGATGACTCATATTTGGCATAGTTGAGAAAGTTGGAACAGATTGTTTTTTCTTCTTAGATTTTATTTTCTCCTTCCCCTTAGATTCCATATCTGTAATATAATCATAATAAAATACAAAACAAAAAATACAACAAGTGACAGTAAATATAAAATAATTAAACAACTAAAGAAACCAAATAAGTCAAGTAGCAACTTTATTTTTGGGTTTTACCATTCGGGCATGCACAACTTTATTTAAATATATATAGTCTCTAGAAAAGCATGAAAGTAACAAAGTTAAAATGGAAAACAGGAAGGCTTAATATCTGGACAATTAGTAAATAGAGTAGAACTAAAATAAGGAAGGTACACATGATAATTTTATGCTTAATTATCATCACATGTAAACTATTTTCTTCATATTTTACAGCAAGTTAGTTGTGTGTTATTGAAATAAAAATTACTCCTAAAGAAAAATAAACTGAAGAAATTAAGAAGGTTAAAGAGCAGAAGACCTCAACATATTTCGCATCCAGAAGTTAAAATCAATGACAAATTATCCCTTTCTGTCTATTGAGATAGTAAAGTCAAACAAACATGTGACTTATAGAGTGGTTTATTTAGCAAAATAGATAGGAAAAAGCTTAACTATTTGAACTGATTTACCACTCATATAATTGGAGCTAACACAAGCTCTCATATAATTGGGAGCTAAAATAGATGCTGGTTAGAGTTCTTTACTACTCATATAATTTGAGTCGATTCTTGGGCACTGTATATTTATATGAATCTATTTCCCTGTCCTCTTCATGGATACTTGATTTTATAAATAACTAAATGCAACGATCCAAATAGCTGCAAACAGATCAATTTATTATTCTGACAAGTTGTAGTACCTCCTGAAGAGCTATTATAGCCTCAGCTTGCCAGCGAGTTATCTCAGGTTTATAATTGAAACTAATTTGTTTAACCTGCCCCAGACAAGAGAAAGAGGGAAAACCAATTAGCTTTGGTGAAACATTAATAAATGCAAAGATTTAAATGTATAACCTATTTGGATAAGTTAAACCATTCATAATCAAGGATATCAAGATAACAGTTCTACAACACATTTACATCTAAAAGAGAGCCAGCTACAGATGGTCAGAATGTAGATCTTAACATGCACTCCTTAGTCCACATCAGAACCATGAAACCCCTAACATTAGTCTCACTGATACTCATCAATTAACTTCTGCCCCTTGAAACCCCTAACATTAGCTTCCTCGCTAGTGCTAGTGCAACAATAAGTCACATATACTCATTGCAATCCACATTAAATAAGGCAACTACAACTATTTAGCTTTAGCTTCAAGCTTCATTCTCCCATTTTAGCCAAATCACATGGTAACTAAGCACAAAAGCAAGCTATGATATATTTGGAGTTTCCCCTATTTCATCTAATCATGTAGCTGATAAGCTCAAATAACGCTAGCAGTCTAACTTTATCCCTTTTGAGTAAGCACATAATCATCATGTGTGTAACAGAAAAAAGAAGGGCAATAGCAGAACAACATCGATATGTTAGGTTCTTAGAGACAGCAACGAAATATTACTAGTCTGATGAAAGGAACAGCTGGAATAAGAAGATTCCATGTCTCCAGAAGGCACCTAATTTCTCGAACAGCCACTGTTCCAGGCCTGTAACGCCTCTTCTTCTTTTGCAGCCTCCACGGAGCTGAAAACACACAAATATTCTCCCATCATTTTGAAACATCACTTAGAAGTAAAGAAATGCACATTCATTTTACATATATATAAAATGCTTACCTGTAAGTACTCAAGAGTGAGCAAACCTTCACTTATATACCTGCAAACCAAATCATGACAGTAGTGAAATTGTACTATGGAAATTTCTTAATTAGGTTTACAGGTTTTTGGTTGGTTATCTAATTGATGGATTCATAAACAGGAGCTAGTAATATTTACTAAAAAATGCAGAAAAAAAAAATAAAAGATAAATAAGATTTTTTTTCAACTTGAAGATAAATCAGATCAATTCTTTCATAAATGGAAAAAAGGGAAAACAAAAGAAGCAGATCTTATTCTGAAGTTAATGAAGTAAAAACAAATGAAGATATTAAAGACCATAAATTTGCAACTCCAAAATACAGACACCTCTATCTTCGTCCTCATTTGTAATCATCTAAGAATAACAAGTTAATCTTCATCTCTATTTTCATAGTAATCATCTAAGTCTTCATCATCGCCTGTTTCACTTTCATCTTGTAATTCTTCCTCATCACTTGTATCATGTTCTACACCTCTATCTTCGTCCTCATTTGTAGCAAGGGCAGAAGGATCAAATTCTTCATATATCCCTTCATTATGCTGCAATTCATCTGCTAATTCATCATCCACTATTGATTCAATATTTGAAATGTCATTCTGGTACGCCACATCTAATGCATCTTCGACTATCACTCTACCTACGAGCTTTGTTTTCAAAACTACCCGCCATGCAAACTTATTCTTGCTCAAAGGATAAGGAGCATAATACACTTGTTTCACATTTTGTGCAATGATAAAGGGATCATAAAGTCTATATTGTCTCGTGTGTTTAATTTCAACTATGTTGTATTGGGCGTGCACCTTTGTACCTCTATTCGGTATTGGATCATACCATTTACATCGAAAGAGTACCAACTTTTTCTTCGGCCAACCTACAACATATTCCAATTCCAAAATCTGTTGAAGCACACCATAATAATCAACATCTCCATCACCTTTCACCCATACCCCACTATTGTTGGTTTTCTTTCCATTAGACCATTCTTCTGTATGAAACTTGTACCCGTTGACTACGTATTTAGACATCATTCTTACTCTAGGGTCAGGTCCCCAAGCTATATCACGTAAAAATGAGTCTTTAATGCCATTAGCTGGATCATGAACCCCTCTCTCTCTCTCTCTCTCTCTCTCTCTATATATATATATATATATATATATAATTAAATATAATTTAGAATTTTAAATATATATATAATTACATATAATAAAAATCATGTTAAATAATAAGTAATACTTACAAATTCTTTAAACCACTCTGAAAACTTGGGATAAACAACATCTTGCCCATATGTATCCACAGAGTAACTGCCATTATAATATTTATTAGTTAAACCAGTGGTATATTTAATATAAAAGTCCGTAATATATACGAATATATACCTACCTATAATAAGGTTGGACCTCAGGGCAATTTAACAATACATGTGTTGTAGCTGACTTTAGCTCCATCTCAGACAACCTTCACTTAGGACTATTTTTTGGACCTCCTTTACCTGGTTGATTAAAAATGGAAAAGGGTGATGCCAAAGGATCGATTTCGCCTCCATTGTCATGCCGATTCGGTCTATTTCTCAAACGTGGCATATCATGTTCAAAATAGTATGAACAGAAATAAGATGTTTCTTTAGCCACATATGCCTCGCAAATCGAACCTTCAATTCTTGATCTATTTTTATGGTCCGTTTACATTTGCCAATAGTACTGTATAGTGTTATTTTTAGACAAAACAATCTTTAAAGCAAATACAAAAGGTAAATGATTAAATTTCATTACCTCTCGAAGGGATACATCCATCTACATTGAACTGACTCTCCAAGCCGTGCCTCTTGTGCAAGGTGAATTGGAAGATGTTCCGTTACATCAAAAAAACCAAGAGGGAAAATTTTTGCCAGCTTGTTTAAAGTTAAGATAATGTTACTCTCCATATAAATTAAGTTCTCCACCCTCAATGTGCTAGAACACAAATCCTTAAAAAAATAACTTATCTCTGTAATCGGTTTCCATATTCGATCAGGCAATGCATTGAACGTAATAGGCATTAACGCTTCTATGAAAATATGACAATCGTGGCTTTTCATTGACGCCAACTTCCCTTCTTTCATGTCAACACACCTAGATAAATTTGATGCGTACTCATCAGGCATCCTCAAATTGTTAGCCCAACTACAAATCTCTCTTCTCTCATCCAAAGTGAACGTGTAACTGGCTTTGGGCTTCTGTATCTTGTTATTAAAGTACGTTAGATACAACTCAGTTCGCCTACAATATTCCTTTAAGTCCATCCTAGCCTTCAAGTTATCTTTGGTCTTGTTAGTAACATCCATAATAGTGTTAAACAAGTTGTCAAAAAAATTCTTCTCGATATGCATGACGTCCAGATTATGCCGAAGAAGATTGTGCTTCCAATAAGGTAATTCTCAAAATATGCTCCATTTAGTCCAGTTGTGTGTGACACCATAACCTGGTATCTTAGATGGTGGAAACTCTATTACTTTAGGCATATCCCTTACTCTATTCCAAATTTCTTCTGAACACAAGCAGGCTGGTGGCTCCTCAAAATCAATTCGGTTCTTCATAAATGCACTTGTATTTCGCCCAAATTCATGATTCATTGGCAAGAATCTACGGTGGCAGTTGAACCATGTATTTTTACCTCTATGTTTCAAAGTAAATGCTTTAGTGTCTTCCATACAACAAGGGCAAGCTAACTTTTTAACAGTCGACCATCCGGACAACATTCCATAAGTAGGAAAATCATTTATAGTCCACATCAAAGCAGCATGTAATCTGAAGTTTTGTTTGGTTGATATATCATATGTTTCCACACCTTGATGCCATAATAATTGTAACTCATCAATCAAAGGCTGCAAGTATACATTAATCAAACTTTTTGGATTGCGTGGACCTGGAACAATACAAGTTAGGAACAGATATGGACTTGTCATACACAACTCTGGCGGAAGATTATATGGAGTAACAAACACCGGCCAACATGAATATGGTGTAGTAGAGACAACAAATGGAGTAAATCCATCTGTGCATAATCCTAACCTAATGTTTCTTGTTTCACTAGCAAACTCGATGAAACCCTATCAACATGCTTCCACGCTTCTCCATCTGATGGATGGCAGAGTATACCAGGTGGCCTTCTATGTTAGTAGTGCCATCTCATATGAGGAGCAGAGCTCATTGATGCATACAACCTCTTTAACCTAGGTATAAGAGGTAAGTAATGCATCGCTTTAACTGGAACTTTCTTTTTTGTATTGGCATTTGTGACTTCCTTAAAACGAGGCTGATTACAAAATTTACAGTTCTCTAGAGATGTGTCATCCTTATAGAACAACATGTAACCTTTCTCACAACAATCAATTCTCTCTGATGAAAGACCCAACTTAGAAACTAATTTTTTAGCAGTGTAGAAATCTTTTGGTAAGTCAATGTTACTCGGATTAAGTTCATTCATAAGCCCAATAATAGAATCCATGCCCACTTGGGAAATAGAACTATCCGATTTAATACTTAGCAATCTAACCGCAACAGACAACTTGGAATGCACCGAACCTTCATACGATGGACGACTAGCTTCTAGTAACTGTTCATAGAAACGCTTAGCCTCATCCTTTGGTTCGGATTGAAACCCAGAAAACGTCCCAAAAGCATCCCTCATCATTTCATTGTATCGAGAATTTTCAACATTATGCTCCAAAATGGGGCTACCCTCACCATCAAAATAATTATGAAAGTTAGCATCATCTAAACTAGCATGATTCTCCCCGTGAGCAGTCTATATATAATAATTTTCTACAAACCCTTTCTTGTAGAGATGGACTTTAACTTCGTCTGATTTCAATAACTTAACACATTTACATTTCATACAAGGACACCTAATCCTTCCTCCAATAAGAAAATCATCAAGTGTTTGAGCCTTAACAATAAATTCAGCAACCCCTTCAATAAATTCATCCCTCAACCCCGCACGATTAGGATGATTCCTATTATATATCCATCTACGATGCACAAATTCTATCTACACAAATAGAAATCTATAAATGAGATATTTAAAATAATTTGATTTATTTAAACTGGTTACAAAGTTATACTCTTTCAAAGGTTCCTTTTAGAAATATACATATCATTGTGTCAAAGCACTTTAGTTAATATATTTTATTCTTTAAAATAATATTTTTAACACTCGAAATCTCACATTAATCCCTATTCTAAATACTATAAGTCTTTAAATATACTAATTAAATTTGAATAGCTTCTTAAACGTTCATATAATCTAAATTAATTAATGATTTCTCAAACAAAAGAAATAGTCATAACTAACAAGTGGAAGTGTTTTTATTTGGTATTGAGGAGGACAAAAGGATCATAATCTTGAAAACTGAAAGATCCAAAAGACAATTAGCTTTCTGTCTAAAGAGTTTTAACAAGATCACTTTCAACACCAGAATCTTCAGATCTACCACTTTAAAAGAATGTAAAGAGAAAATGTAACAGAAGCGCCAATTAGAGTCATTATCATCAATGACAATATAGCTTTGACTCACAAACTATAAATCAAGTTTGACAACACCTCTAAAACAGAAGAAAACAAAATCCACAACATATTTACACTTTGTTCACTGTGCTAGTACTTTCACTTTTAATGGAACCCAAAAAAAAAACTCAGTACCATAAACAAAGAGAAATGGGATTAATAGTATAAAGAACTTCAAGATTTGGGGGGCTTGGTTTCTTAATTTTTTTTTGGCTTAAACTTCATGTGACAGAGTTCAGAGTTTGCAGGGACACCCAAAAATGCTTCTCATTTTACTGGAACAATGATTTGGGTTTGTGATAAAATTAATCATGATTATTGGCTTAATTTAGAGTAGTGCACAAAATTAGAACCAATTAACCAAAGAGGTAATCAAATTAAGTCAGCTAAATAGTGAAAATAAAGAAATTAAAAGCTCGTGCATGATGTAAAAGTGCAAATAATTCCCGTCATGCAAGTTGTACTTGAAGTAATTCTTTGTAGAAGTCTCCAACTCTTACCAAACTTTAAATTAAAGTGCTTTGACTCTCTTATCATATGATATTCATCTCGTAATTTGACAGCAAGACTACACACATGTTCGTCTTACCAACCCTTTATTGAAATTACTTTTATTGCTTTTATACGTGTAGAGATAATACTGAACTAATTATGTGAGTAATTAGCAGATTTTTCCATCAAAAAACAAGTCAATTGTAACAACTAAAAGAAAAAAACTAGAGTTCTTGTTCTTATTTTAACTGCACATTCATCAGTAAGATCCAGAACAACAATAACATAGCAAATAGAGGTTTTCTAATACCACTATATTGATCCTACTTATGGAAGTAGTATAATTCAGGCTATTAAACTCCTTTTCATATAGTACGTGAATATCCAGCAACAAGACACCTTAGTAAACAATTGAGAACTGACGACACAAAAAATTTAATCTGTAATTCCATGGATGGCAAGATATAAAACTGCTAGAGAAACTATGACATCAAACTATTTGCTGAAATAATATGAAAAAAGGAACTTGATGAACTATGACAGCCTTCTTTTAGTAAATCTATGTACTGACTTCAGCAATCCCCAGGTATGGAACTATAATTCCAAAGAACACTTCTCATTTATTTACTGAATTTTAAAAAGAAAAATACATTATTTTAACATAAAAATACATTATACAGGAAAGACGTGTATGGAAGAAAGAAGAGCTTCTTCTACTATAAAAAGAAATAAGTGAGTGAAGAAAAAATCATGATGTTGTAATTTTGGCACTGGGATACAACGTGATGCCTTTGGCCATCCGAACAAATCAAAGCTTGTATACTTTGGGCCTCAAGTCCTATTTCCTTTTTCTCCCTCAACAATTTATTTAGTCTACTTGTCTCGTTCTCAAAATTAGTCGTTTTGATAAACTGAATTTGTTTTAAATTGTTTGACATTTTAAAAAAAAGGCCATCTAATAGGAGTAGTATTTTTCTCAAATCTGCTCTTACTGTTCTAACTAGTGATTGTTAATTAAGTACGACAGTTAATAGAGATAAAAAATAGTTTAAACAAATATTAGTGTAATTAATTCCATAAAATATATTGTTAGGAGTGTGCAAATTGTAAAAGCAAAAAAGACGGATAATATGGACAACTGTAGAAGGTAGCAATGCACAAGAAAGGATCAGAATGGGTATCCAATTGTCTCTTTAGTTTCGTATAAACTTTTGGCATCTTAATAAAAATTAGAGACACACAAATCTGATGTGATTTAATAAAAATTTTAAACAGTCAAAGAGAATTTACCGGGCAGTGGAGACGGAGCTTCAGCAGGTTGGTGGCAGTGGAGACGGAGTCTCGACAGAGCGCCGATGGTGCCGCTGGTTGGTGGCAGCAGTGGGTTTGGGTGGGGGAAGTTTAAGTGAGAGAGAGAAGAGAGAAGGAAGAAAAGAGGGAAAGGAAAAGAAAAAAGTGCGCTGGTAGGTTTTAAAAAAATATTTCCGACTGATTCGGTCGGTAATTTGGTCAAAGCAGTCAACCTCGTTTTACTAAAAATTTCCGACCGAATCGGTCGCTATTTTTAAAAAAAAAAAATTATTTCCGACCGAATTGGTCGCTAACAGTGGCGCGGAATTTTCCGCCAAAATTTACGACGGATATAGATGGAATATTAGTCGTAACTATTAGTAAAAATTAAAAAATAAATTTTTATGTATTTTCCAACTGATTCCGTCGGAAATTTCCGACTACTTTTTCAGTCGGAAATTTGCCGTTTTTTAGTAGTGAGTGGTGTGTAATTGACACACCTTTAAAAGTTTTGGTGTGTAATATTATTCCCATCTTTAACAGGTGTATAAGAGAGATTTGGGGACAAGGTCGATGGGTAAAGTATGTATTTTGCCTAAAAATTAAACTCACCACGTGGATCGATTGAACCTCAATATGTGTCAAATAAGTTACGGAGGAAGCTGATAAATGATGAAAAATGTTTATTTTTGAGTATATTTGCATATTAATTCTTGTGTGAGTCGCGTGAGATTACATTGTTTTTGATGTGAAATATACTCATTATGTGTTTCTTATGTGTAGGAACGAGTTTGGATGATAAATGATCAAAAGATGACAATTCGACACAAAAAGAAATTATCATCTTCCTCTAGTATCCCCTCTTCATCTGTGTCTTCATAAGATTCTTTGGATTCGTTATCTGAATGGTAATTGTTGTGTGTAGTTGAACCCGAAGCTTGTGAGATATCAGTACCATGTTCCCCCTCAGTTGTAAGGAGGTTTGTGAAATCCAGATCTAGGACGGTAAAGTTGTCAGTTGCCTGCTCCGCTTCTACCGGGAGAAGGGTGGTCATGTCGAACTCTAGTGTTTCCATCTTATGCAGCTCTAACTTTAGCTCAGCTACATCTTTTTTAGTTGAGGCATATCACCAACTCCACCTCACTCAATCTTCTCAAATCGAACATCCAAGTGATTGAGTCGGGCTTCATATGATAAATGTTGTTTTTGAAGCTCACTCACTGAGGTTTGTAGCGGTGTCAATGCTTGTCGGATAAGCTATGGCAATTCTTTTGTTAGTTTGTCTACTTTGGAATTGGTATATTGTGCCAGTAGACCGAGCTTGGAGAGTGCCGGCAGTGAAATAGGTGGTGGCATAGTGACTGGTCCAGGAGTAGGTGTAGAGGTAGCTGGTGCTTAATAAGTGTCTGGCCTTGATGAGGATGCAGGTGCTGCTGAAACAAATGAAGCTGGAGGGAGAATAGGCGATTTCTCTAATTATTGCTCTGGTGGATCTTCAACCACTATCTCTATAGAGTCATTGTGCTCGGTGATGTCAATATCCTGAAAAGATTTCAATATACGGTCATGTTTGGGGTTCAAGGGAACATTTGCATCTATACACAAAGCATGGATTAAGCATGGGAATAGGAGTGATGTTTGTTTCTGGTTTGCCCGGATCCCAATCTCACTGAATATGAGATGTCCCACATCAATTATTATACCCAACATGATGCAAGCAATGAGGATCGCCTTCTCTATACTGATGTCGGTCTCATTTCTGGAAGGCATGAGACAAGAATACACGAAACTTAGCCAATAGTGCCTTCTTGAGTGAAGTCCCTCTTGTGAATTCTTTGGCATGGTGTAATCCAGGGTGGAGTTCCCGTTGCTATGACAGAGGCTACCCACACACGCTCTACTTCTTTATTTGCCATCTTAGCATCAAACTCTGTTATGCATTAGTCCCAAGAATCACATTATGAATCATTGATCGAGATAGAATCACATAGTATTTCAACTCCTCGGACTACAACAGATTTCAAGAAAACATGGTTTCTCTTTTGTTCTGCGTTCCTGGATGTTGCATATGCCGCATAATATTCCTTGACAAGTGTTTCATTGTACTCCCCCGGAACTTCAGTTAAAACTTCCCACTTTCTCATTTCGATGTTTTCTAATACATGCGGGTAGTGTTCCTTTAAACCATTCAAGCTCAGATACTTTTCTCCAAGGATCTTTCTTGTTGTTAGTACCTCTTTGTATAAACTCCAAGAGCCGGGAATCTCAAGATTTTCGCGATGCTAAAGATTTCGCGATGCTAAAGATTTCTTTGGTGCCATTCCTACCAAACAATTAGAAGTGAGTATATGATGAGGCATGTGTAAATATAACATGTATAATGAGAGACAAAAAAATTTCTGCGACCCCTTTTTGCTATCACATAATAGATATGCAAACCGCAGAACATTCTGCGATGTGTGACCTGACATAAGTATTACATTGTGAAATCTCATATTGGTCGCATATCAAATTTTGTGATCGCAGATTGGTCGCAGAATGACTTTCTTACTAGGCTTCATACTAATTTTTTCTGCAACCATTATGCGGTCCGCAAACTATTTGTGCGGCTGCATAATCACCCTCATAGTTACCTTCCCCCCAAACACATACGAACTTATATTTTACCATACCAGTTTGTTTCTATTACACAACTAACTCCTAATTTTATAGAGTGGGCACCTAACAAATAACATCAGATCAGTTCTAGGTGTCACACATAAGTTTCTTTTGTGTATCTCTCATAATCACTGAACCTCAAACTCAAATTAATGATTCTAACTCTAACCACCCTGATTTTAACAGACCCACAGTAAACATTGACTCCAAATTGGATTCCCAGATACAAGAAAAGGTGTCATAGAAGAGGTATTAGAATGAAGTAAGGAGTTTGTACAACTACTGATTCAACTTAGCAGAAAAGAATCTAGAAGTTACTCACCAGATTGTTGGAAGATTTTGAGCAAGTGTTGTGGAAATGATTCGCGGGAACACGGTGAGTTTATCTTGTTCGACTTTCTTTTCTTTTCTTTTTAATTCCAAAATTTTCGTTTGTTCTTCTTTTGTTAGCCCGAATGTTGTTGAAAGACGGTGGAAAGAGATGAGACAGAAGGTAGGTAGGTTTTATACCTTGACATTCTACGTTGCATTTACCATCGCGAACCACACTACACGATTGCATATGGGTTTCACGATGGATTATTACCTGTAAGACTTAAGGTGGTTTTGCAACCCATTATGTGGTCGCATAATGACTATGAGGACCGTAGAAATTGAAATGCCTCCGCATTTGGAAGGATGAATTTGGATGATTTTCTGCTTGTGTCTGCGACCATTATGCGGCCCGCAAACTCCTTCTACGGTCACAAATGTTGTCGCAAAAACAACAATTGAAGCTCAGCTTGTTTTCCTTCCTTTTCCTTCTATATTTGCACCTTCTTTTCTTGTATTTTGGGTAACCTACATTCTAACAAACACGTTATATTATTCAACATGGCTAATAAACCTACTAAAATCAAAATTTAACCAAATATTCGTTACCAACATTTGGATTGCCTCCCAAGAAGCGCTTGATTTAATGTCACGACACGACGATGTTATCCCTGTTTTGGCTATTCAGTAGTGGGGATTGATACATCTCCATCCTTTAGTGCAAATTGTTCGACCAATTGCCTTTATCCAATAGTACCGAGGTAATACTTAACCCTTTGGCCATTTACATTGAAAGTTCATGTCCTATCTTCAGATTCTAATTCAATAGCACCATAGGAAGACACACTCACCACTTTAAATGGGCTAGACCATTTGGATTTGAGTTTCTCGAAAAGAACTTCAATCTAAAATTGAAGAGAAATACTAAGTCACCGGATTTAAAATCCCGCTTCAAAATTTTCTTGTCATGAACGAACTTCATTCTTTCTTTATACATGGCTGCATTCTCATATGCATGGAAATGGAATTCTTTCATCTCATTTAGCTGAGTCATTCTTAGATTAATAGCTTCGGCCCAGTTAAGATTTAATTTCTTTAATGCCCATATGGCTTTGTGCTCAAGTTCCACTAACAAGTGACAAGCCTTACCGAAAATCATCCAGTAGGGTGAGGTACCAATGGGTGTCTTTAACATAGTTCGATAAGCCCACAATGTATCATCTAGCTTCTTTGACCAGTTGGTCTTGTTTGCATTGACAATCTTTGCTAGAATATTTTTAATTTCTCCGTTGGAGACTTCAACTGACTTCTTGACTGAGGATGATATGGGGTTGCCACTTTGTTCTTAACTCCATATTTTTCTAGTAACCCGGTAAAAGCTTTGTTGTAAAAGTGAGAACCACTGTCACTAAGGATAGCCCTTGGGTTTCCAAACTGATTAAATATGTTCTTCTTCAAAAAGGTGGTTACACTCCTTTCCTCATTAAATATCCCCTCGCACATCAAAAATCTCAACCTCTATCACAAAGTTCAGGCATCTCATGTCTTCTAGAAATAGACCCTTGTCTTTGATATTGGTCACATGTTTTGACCATTTGGTTTGCATTTTCATAGATCGATGGCCAGTAATATCCGCATTAAAGCACCTTTGCATTAGTACAGTTTTCCTTGTGATGACCCCTAATGGGGGAGTCATGACATGCTTTGAGAATTTGCATCACCTCCTCTTCAAGAACACAACGCCGAATGATATTGTCGGAACAAATCCGAAACAAAAAGGCTTCCTCCCAATAGTATTTCCTACATTCCCGCAAGAACTTTTTCTTTTGATAAGCTTCCAATTCATTTGGGGCAAGATCACTAACCAAGAAATTAGCGATTCCAGCATACCTGGGGGTGGAGGTGCTAGATATCATCAACAGGTGTTTATCCGGAAAGGCGTCATTAATTTCAAGATTTTCTTTTAGTTTCCCTGCCTCTTCAAGCCTAGATAAGTGATCTGCAACTTGATTCTCTGTTCCTTTTTGGTCTTTGACTTCAAAGTCAAATTATTTTAACAAGAGAATTCATCTAATCAATCTGGGTTTAGCATCCTTTTTCTCCATAAGGTGGCGGAGAGAAGCATGATCTATGTAGACTATCACTTTGGATCCTAACAAATAAGCTCGAAATT